TTTGACTTTATTTTCCCCAGCTCTGTCACCCTGGCACACTAACGGCTGGAACTGATGAGTCCTCCTTGCTCCTTCCCACACGTCTCCATGTCTCCCACAGCAGCAAAACTTAGTGTTTTTCTCATGAATGAAGAATAAAATCTCATAGGAAAGTTCATCAACTTTGGGCTCCTGCTCATTGAGTGATAGATAGCTTTAATTACACTGCACTACATGGCATCTCTACCGCACTCCCCAAAGTCATTAAAAATAGATTTTCTGGTTGAACTCCAGCCCCCTGAGGAGTCTGTGGGCAGTGGGCCATGGCCATGGGCTGCCCTGGTGCTGTCTCCAGCCAGGGAGGTCAGAGCCCTGTGCTGGTAGCAAGCATGAGCTATGGAAACTTGTCTTTGTGTGTTTATTTTAGGTGTTTATTTATTTGGATCTGGATTCTTGCACTTTTAGTTCCTCTGGGGCTGGCAGAGTGTGGATTCATGTGGTATGGAGAGTGTGTATTGATTTTTTTGGGTCTGTTTTTTGCTGATGCTGTAGGTCAGGCAGTTGAGGAAAGCAGCACTGAGACTTCATCACTTCGTTATTGAGAAGCAGGTTTGTTTCAGCATAGACAGAAGGAAGAGAGGTAGCAATCGGGCTGCAGGGAGGAGCACTCTGCCTTCAGGAGTAAGGAGATTCCCCTGGAATGTTGGTTTCTTGTCTCTTATTTTACAAGCTGATGCTCCTCAGCTCTGCTGAATTGCTTTATCACTTTGCATTTGCTGTGACCACAGTGATGTGGAGCGCCTGTCACTCTTCCTTATCCCCAGAATGACCTGCTGCCTGCTTCAGCAGAGGTATTCTGGCTTTGCAGGCACCTCCAGGCTCTGCAGGGGAGCAGCGGTCTGTTTCCCAGGTAAGGAGGTGCAGGGTTTGAGGCTGCATTTGGAACATTCCTGCATATGTCTGTGTGGCTTCAGGACCTCTCGCCTCATGCTTCTGGTAGCTGGAGCAGAAATCTCAGGGCATCCAAAACCATCATGCACTTCCAAAAACTCGGGTACGACTGTGAGGTTTGCAAGTGCTCCAGGATGGGAGCTGCGGTCAGGAGCTCTGCTTTGGGTACCACAGGAGATCGTGCTCCTGCTCTGTGGATGAGTTCATCAGTGCAGGCAACAGCTTTCCTGGGGCTTAGACTGGGGTGGGGAATACACTCCTGAAGCGGTGATAGACCTTCTCAGATGTTTGCTGTGAGTGCCAGGAGCATTCCTCTGACTTACCTCTCCAGTGTAAACTAGGAAACAACTTTGCATTTAAGAACTAAACACTGAAACTCAAAGCCCTTTCATAAGAAACTATCCTGCTGCACACAGAGCTGTCCCAGGGGCTGGCAAGGAGAGAGCAAACAAACCAGGCTGTGACAGATGGGAGTCACGTTGGTTATGCATAGCTACGAGGTGCTGGTGCCCGGTGAGACCGGGATGCTCGGATGAGGATGCCAGCAGTGCTTATGGCCATCAGAGTGGGGCTGGGCAGGATGCAGGAAGGTGACAATTTGGGGTTACTGAGCAGGTACTTGGTGGTTGCACCCACTCTTTTCCTGCTCTCTCCCTTTGAGAGCCGTGGGTACACAGAGCCAACACTGCAGAGCTCGTGGGCAGGATTAAATGGGGCTTTCAGCAACCTGCTCTCGTGGATGGTGTCCCTGCCCATGGCAGGGATTGGAACTGGATGAGCTTTAAGGTCTCTTCCAACTCAAACCATTCCGTGATTCTATGCAGGAGGCCGTGCTTATGGCAGCAATGGCATCTGCCACATCAGAAACTATCAGCGATCCCTCTGCTGTCTTCTCTTGTGTCTTTCCTTCTGGATTTCCCTTCAGTGCTTTTTTGTCTCATTTTGTTACTATTTCCTTCCTTATCAGCTGCTCTTTTGCCTTTCCCCTCTCTTCTTATCTTCTCCTTGGTGGCATCCTGTGGCTGAAGTGGGAATGGGGGGAAGCTCTTGGACTTGGGAGTCTGTGTCCCCCACCCTGATCCATGTTGTTTTTCCTTCCACCTACAGGCATTGATGTTCCTTGTCACACACACAAATGCTTTGGTCTCATAATGATAGTTAAGCTGGCAGAGAACAGCTTAAAAATATGTAAAGCTTTCCAGCCTGCCATCAGGAAGAATAAGCACATCTGAGCTTTACTTCTTTACTGTCTCTGAAGGAAATGGAGCTTTCAGTCTTCTGTGTTCATGATAGGTATGGGATAAGATATGGATATATCCTACTCTTAATGGGATTTGTCTTGTTTTCCTGTTAAAATGACACGTTTGTTATGTTTCAATATGTGGATCATGGATGGGAAGGGTAGTTGATGATGTGTTTGTACCACAGAGCAGGGCAGATACTGCAAACCCCCGAAATCTTTTTCATGCTTGCAAATACTTCACTGCCTTCTGTTCAGCATGTTTTTGAACTTCTTCATTCAAATGTTGATTTGAGTATTGGAGCAATGCGGGGTTTCAAGCATTAATTTTCATGAAGGGTGAATTTCAAAGTGATGGCCATAAGCATTAGACAAAAGCAGATGATTTATTCTCCTCCAAAGTCTTAGACCTTCATCCAGCCAGGACCATAGGTTATCTAAGGAGCCAGGGCTACAGCACGGCTCACCAAGAAGGATCCTGTGACTGTTCTTGGTCAGAGCAGGTCCCCCAGCTGAGGTGGTGCCTCTATCCCAGGTGGATCAGGCACCAACCACCGACTCTTGCAAAAAGGTGCAGGGGTGAAGTTCTCTGCCCTGCCTTTTGCAGGCATCACAAAGAAAGGATCAGATGGTCCCTTTTGGGCTAGAAACTGCGATTCCAGGCATTGTTCAAAATGTCTGTGTAATTTTTAAAGAGTTACCATGTGCAGAAGCCACAGCTTCTGAGCAGAAAAAGAACCCAAATGCCTAACATAAAATTATCCATAATGAACTGTTATTCATATAATTCAAATTCTCTGTTATTTATAGAGTGCTGCGAGAGCATCCAGCTCCTCACAAACATGACACAAGCCCTGAGCTGCATATAAATTGCAGGGACAGATCCTGTCAAGCCTCACATGGTGGGGAGGAGGTGGGGGATCAGCAATGCCCAGTGATTTCAGGGCTGTCCTGACCTCTGGGGAGAATGAGAGTCACCCCACCAAGACAGCTCAACATGCTGAGCAGATTCTAGAGGAAACCCAGTGATGTCCCTTGATGCATCCTGTGGTGGCTGATGTCTCCCATGGCTGAGAGCCACCACAGCTCCCATGGGATGCTTGTTTGGTTTGGAAGACACCCCGAGGAGGCTGATCCTGATGCCAGGCTGGTGGGTTTGCTCCCACCATGTCTGTGAAGTGCTTTGATGCCTTTCGAGAGAAGAAGTAAAGCAAGTAAAATCATCATGTGCAGCCAACTGAGGCACAGAGAAGACCCTGAGAGGGCATCCCAGATGCCTTTTGCAGCTAAGAATCAAATGCAAGCCCTTGCATAGAATCACAGTCTGGTTTGGGTTGGAAGGGACCTTAAAGCTTATTCAGTTCCAACCCCCTGCCACGGTCAGGGACACCTTCCACTAGAGCAGGTTGCTCCAAGCCCCTGTGTCCAAGCTGGCCTTGAACACTGCCAGGGATGGGGCAGCCGCAGCTTCTCTGGGCTCCAGGGCTGTTTTAGCACCCCCAAGCTGAGCCCTGTGCCTGTCCCACAGACTTCATCTCAGCACCAAACCACCCCAGCCCTGCGCATCCACGCGCGATTCTTGTTTTAGGAGAAGCTGTCGAGTAGGAAACAAGAAGAATAGCAGCCCTATTGGTGTCGTATTTAGAGAGGAACTGGGTTCTCACTGTGTCAACAGCACTTGGCATGAAAGTGGCCGTTGTTTGGTGAGACACTGCTCCTTTCACCCTGCGCACCCCAGCTGCTGGGAGCCGGGTGCTGTTTTGACGGACAGAGCGAGTGCAATGCCCACAGTTGCTTTAGTTTCCAGCCAGTTGCAGTTGCTCCCAGGGCCTGAGGGGAGCAATAATTATTTACACTATTGGATAATAGTGTAAATGTATTGAAGTGGGAATGGGCTAACGCAGGAGTGCGGCGTCAGGATAGGAGGTGCAAACATACCGCGCCCACTGGAGGTGGCAAGGATGGATTGGAAAGGTTAAAGTGGCATTTCTTCTTTGGAGTCAAGCAGTGACCCATGGTTAAAGCTTGGTGTTATTTTGGAGCCTTTGGGGTTTTCAGCATTGATAAATGGGTCAGGACAATGCTACACCTCAGCATCGCACAGGGACATTGGGGGGGGTGTGGTGTGTGTTAAGTGCAAGCAGGGAGTTGAAGCAGTGACCTCAGCTGGTGTTCTCTCATGGGCTTCCCTCTTTCTTCTGCTCTGGAATAGCTTGCTTGGGAGAGAGAGTCTTGCCTGGCTTCTGAACAAGTGTAAGTCCACGCTGGTGCTGGAAGGGCTCAGGGTGTCCAAGATGGAGCAAGTCATGAAATACCCACATAGGCTGAATAAGCTTCCAACTCGTGATATCCCAATGAATTTTATTCCCTGCCAGTTTTCCTCCCTGAGGCAGCTTCCCCACGGCACGTGTAAGACAGCAGACAGTAAATCAGGGAGGAGAGGACACAGCTTCCATCATGGGAGCATCTCCAGGCAGGGAGGTCGGGAGGGTTCCTGGTGAGCTGGCGCCGGGAGGGAGCTGTGGCTCTGTCGTTCACAGCACCCGAGGGATGCAGTGACTTCATGGCTCCATCCCCAATATCTCCTGTTCTTGGCTGAATTCTGTATGGATGTTGGAACAAATTGGTTTAAGTTTGTGAATTGCTGTTGTGTTACTTAGAATCAGAGAATCACAGAATGATTTGGGTTGGAAGAGACCTTAAAGCTCACCTAGTTCCTTCCTAGGGACACCTTCCACTAGGCCAGGTTGGTCAAAGCCCTGTCCAACCTGGTCTGTGAAGCCAAGAGAAGGAGATAGAGCCCCGAGCTGTGTGTTTGCTTCCTTTGCAGGTGTCCCGGGTGCCCGTGGAGTCCTGTGAGCAGTACACGACCTGTGGGGAATGCCTGAGCTCAGGAGACCCGCACTGCGGCTGGTGCACACTCCACCACATGTAAGTCCAGCCTTGTCCATTTCATTTGAGCTGCTGGTGGTGATGAGAAAAGCAGCTTTCAAAGCCACCAAGCACCTCCCACTCAAGGTTAGGTTGAAGTTCCTTAAATCCATTCGCCCTTCCCTGCACGTTCCCTGTGTTGCAACACGAATGCCACTGAAAATCCCTGAGCTGCTGTGAAAGAGATAAAGGAAAACAGATTCCTGCTTCAGGAGTGGAGAGGGTGCTGTGGATGCAATGGGAAAGCAGAGTTTAAACCGGTGGGAGTGAAGACCTTGTGTTTTGCACACTCCTCTTGCCCAAGCAAGTCCCTCCCAAAGAACTGGGAATTAGCGAAGGCAGTAGTAGACTTGGTTATATGAGTAGGACTGTGGTTTGGGAGAGGTTGCAGCACTGGAACAGAGCAGAGCGCCCAAGCCCTGTTAAGTATATCAGGAAGGGGTAGTTCTATTGTGCAAGAAAGGGTCAGGGGGTCTGTGCTCCAGCTATTCCCAGTGGGACAAAGCCAGCAGCACAGGGCTGGGAGCTGGCAGCCCCTCACGCACATCAACAGGCACAAAGGGCTAAGGGTTGGTTTGGTGGTTTTTATTTCAGGGGAGCTCCAGGAAATGCTCTCTGCATTCAGGAGGTGTCTGTGTCCTTCCTTTCTCTCCCCTGCCATAATACCCATCACTTCCTAAGGCGGAAGGGGGACCACCAGGCAGAGGGAGATTGAGAGAGGAGGGGAAAGCCTCGAGGAGAGGAACAGAAATCCCTCCGGCCACATGCCAACTTGCAGAGCAGCCCCGTTAAATGCATGGAAATTGGTGGAGGCAGAGTTCAGGGCCCCCACAGCAGGACTTGGCCACTTGCCTGAGGAGCAGGTGCTGGAGGGGGAAGCAGGGAATGACAGGCTCCTCCGCAAATCCGGCCTGGATTTGGGACCTGTGCGCTTTGGGTTGCAAACTGGCTCCCTGTGGCTTTGCTTGGTTTGCAAAGAGGCGTTGCCACACTCAGGGAGATGCAGGAGAACCTTGGCAGCTGCTGGCCATGAGCATCCCACAGGGTCCACACAGGCTGGGGCAGTGGCAGAGGACACCCCCCGTCCCCCATCCCGAGTATGTGTAGTCATGTCCAAAAGCTTTACTGTCACAGCAGCTTTGTCAGAAGAAAGTGATTTCCATTCCTGGTGGTTCCCATCCCTTTGGCTCTTCCCTTGGGGCAGCCATCCCATGTGCCTTTCCAGCGGTTGGGATAGCTGTGCGGTGGGAGGGGATGGCTGCATTAGTACCCGTGGGTGTTTGGTGTCAGTCCTCAGCCTCCTGCAGCAGCTCCTCTGCAAGGATCACTGAGTGCTTGCCTAATGCTAATGAACTGAATCTTCATAAACCACCTGGGACGCAGGTAAAGGTTGTTATCTTCATTTTGCAGAGAGAAAACCCTCAATGTCAAGAGGAGAGAAAAGTGTCATTTCCTCTGCCCTTTTGGCCATGACATTTCAGCACTAACCTATTCCCAACAAGGGTTTCTTCCCTGATAGTATTTCTCAACCCTCCCTTCAAGCATCTGCACTTCCCTGGCCTGCTTGGAGCAAGGATCATATTTTAGCTTTTGTCTTAAGCTGTAAATAATTGAGTTTCTCTTGCTGTTCCTGAAGCCTCTGTCATATTTTGTTTGGAGGCCTCAAGCGCTGAAGTGTTTGTATTCAATTTGTCATCTCTCTCCTCTAATTCTTCCATGTCCCTCCTGCCAGATGGACCAGCTGCTCAGTGGAAGGGTTGTAGGTCAGGGTGTGTGAAGCTTGTGCTGCGGTTTGTGAGGGGTGGTAAAAGGGTGAGGGGCAGAACAGGAGGTGACTTTGTCCTTAAAAGAGCAAGAGGGTGGCTGGTAAACACCAGCACATGTGGGCATGGTAAAATCAGCACTGTGACAGATGGGGATTGAAATCCAGATATTTCTTCCCACTGCTTGTTGTGGGGTTTTGCTCCTTGTCCTGGGGGTACGCAAGATGCCCAGGCAGCTTGGGGCATCCATGCAAGAGCTGCACCCTGCCGAGGAGCAGAGCAGGGCAGGCCAGCCCATAAGGCAGCTCCTCTTGGGCACTTGGCATCCATGTTTGCACTTGCCAGAGGCTTAGCTGAGAGCATGGATGTGCAGGTACTGAGCTAGCAGGGAGCCAGAAAGGAAATCAGAGCTTTCAGTGATGTTGGATGTCTGAACAGGGACGGATGCGAGATACATGGCCAGACCCGCTGCCCCACTCCATCAGGCAGCGTGTCCTGACTTCCACACCACCAGCCAGAGAGGAATGATAAACGAAAAGTAAAAGGGTCTGAGTTGTCCTGGGATAACCTTTCATTATCCCATATTACATAAAGCTTTGTTAGTGTGCTCTTTGTGTATTATTGTCTCTTAGAGGCCTTAGTCAGGGTTTAAGGCTCTGATGCATAGAGGCGTGCTTACATACACATATGCATACTTAGAACTGAAGGGTAGTGATAGTTGTGATGCTCATGAATGGGCTATCTGGGTGCAGGACATTTGAGAAGGTGCTAAAATGATAGAATCAAAGAATCAACCAGGTTGGAAAAGACCTTTAAGCTCATCAAGTCCAACCTTTACCCCAGCACCACCAAGGCCACCGCTGAGCCACGTCACTAAACAGGCAGGGAAAGGTGCTTGTCCTCCTGCAGAGCAGCAGTGCCAATGCTGAGCAGCCCAATGTCCCTGCTCCGTGCCTTCACCATGTCCTCCCAGCCAGGGGCTTGCTGGCCATCCCAGTTCATCCTCTGCATGTGAGAGTGGGATCCTTTGCTCTTCCTCTTCTACAAACAGCATTCTCTGGGAGCAAGCAGGCACCTCTAGAAGATTGTTAAAGAGTCGCTTCAGCCCAGTGGGATTTGAAACCTGCAGGACTCCCCTGTGCTGCTCTCTACAAGTGTGTTATTGTCTACAGGCCTATTTATCTCTGTTAGGGCTGTTGCCATAAATAGTATGATAAAAAAGAGCCATTCCAGCAAGTCAGTGAGATAAAGGCTCCAGTCAAGAGCTCGCTTTAAAGCTATCTTACAGATTCACTTAAACCTCAATAATTCTTCTGTTGGTAACGTTCGTATTTAGCTCCATTAGGCTCCAGAAAGAAAAGGTACAAGGCGAGAGGGTGGGAACAGCAGTGATCACACGGGTGCTTTGGAATGGGAAAGTATAAGTTCCACTTACTGTAATCAAAATCAAACAGCCTCATGGGGAAGACGATGGTCCAGTGTTCCAGAGTGGGAAGCCCTGGTTTTGTCAGGCACTTGTCAGCTGGCCAAAGCTAGATGAGCCTGGCAAAACTGAGCCTCTGTGTAGACACAGCGAAAAAAGTGTGTGTGTCGGGGAACAGCCGAGCTGCTCAGAAAAACCAGGAGTTTGACAGCAGCACCTCCTTAATTCAGGTAACCCATACACAGAGGTAACTGTCAGAAGGGAACTTGCTGGTGGCCTGTGTGGCTGGTGACAGCATCTCAGTCCTCTGAGCTTTGCACCATCATTTGAAATAGGATCCAAGATGAGCAGGGAGTGAAAAGTGATGAAGTGGGCTGATGGCTTATTGAGGCCAATCATACCAAAAGGCCAATATGTCATCTGTGCCCAGGGAGAGGGGTGGGATAAAAGGATTTTCCCCCACTGACATAGAACAGGAAGTCTTTGGAGTATGCCAGTGTGCTGCAGTCTCTGCTACCTGGTTTGAAACACTGATCATTCTTCCCTAGTTTTCTGGTGGTGGCTCCCGTACCTGCTTGAAGCAGCTTAATTTCACTCCATTCCAAGGATACCTGCAATAAAAAAAAACAGGGATAAGGAGCCATCCTGGAGCACATGGCATGCTAGGAGCAGTCCTGGTCACTTTGCCATGCTCAGAAGCTTGCATACCTGATGGGAGAGAGCTGGGAAGGTGTGAAAACCAGCCAAAGCCCAGGCAGCATCTGTCAGAAGGTCCCACTTGTGGCTCTGCCACACTTCTCAGCTCCAGGAGATGATTAGTGAATGATGTGGGTTCGTTTTAATTGGAATAGGGTCATCATCCTGTTACTGTCTTTTACTGCTTTATGGTTTATTTTCTGTGTCAGTGATGAATTTAAGGCTTGCAGGGGCAGCGAGCGATGGTAGGTTGCCTGGCTCACCTTGCACCTCTGGCAAATGGGGTTTGGCAGCTCATGAGATCCTTGTGGTCTCTCTTTCCTCTGATCATAGTATATTTTCCAGCACCCTCTGGTCCTAACCTGATACCTGGTCCTGGTGCAGAGCATCACCCTGGTCGTGTTGATACCCTCTCTTCCCCTGGCTCTGCCCTCCTGTTGAGCTCATCTCAGCTGTAGCACCTCATGTTATCTGACATCTTCCAGTGCTCTGATGTGTGCTCCTGTGTGGCAGGTGCTCCCCGAGGGATAGCTGTGAGCGAGCAGATGAGCCGTACCGATTTGCAGGCAGCATCAGCCAGTGCATGACCGTCACCGTGCAGCCCAGCAGCATCTCTGTCTCCGAGCACAGCCTCCCGGTAGGTGCTACTGGCCAGGGGTAGACCTGTTGGTGAGAGGTTCATAATAAACAGTCCATTCTCCAACCTTTTCTCCCCTCCCATTGGCGCAAATGTTTTCTCATGATGTCAGACTCGCTGAGGGCGGGAAAGGGGTCACCAGAACCAGGGATGAAACAAATTCCCCTTCCCCTTGGGCCTCAGCTCACATTTCTCCTGGTCCGGTTTCATGAGCTGTTGAAAGGAAAGGCTTTGTTTCCCCAAAAGCTCATCTGTGAGCTGTGCTCAGGGCTGGCTCAGTGAAGCATCCCAGCTGTTGCTCTCGGAGCCCCCCAGCACCCCACGCCAGCTGGTCCTGCTGCAGCCCCTGCCTGCTCCCCGCCGGCACTCGGTGATGGATGGTGTGGGGCTCTGGGAGGCCACTCACCCCTTCACACATTGGTTTTTCACGGGGACAGTCCCCATTCATGATGGGGTCAGTGGGGACTTGCTTCTGATGCCTACATGTGCCTCAGGCAGGACTGCCTCTCCTATGCATGCAGAAGGTTGTTATGGGGCTGTCACTGCATGAGAGGGCAACATGCTGCTGCTGCTGCTGTCACACATTCCTGACATGGGTATTGAGGGTGGCAACGTTTCTATAGAGCAACCAGGGGGACAGAAATCTGCATTTGCCACCTCTCCTGAGCTGCAGAGCCCCCAGGCTCAGCAAGGTAGTTTTGTGTCAGTAAAGAACCTTCATCCTTGGCTTGCTTCCTCCAACTCTGCTTCCCAGAAAGGGCAGCTGGCCACCTCCTGTGGGTGGACGGATCATTTAAGGGGGTCAGTACTGAATGGGAAAGCAGCAGACTGAAAATACGAAGGCAACTGGGGCAGCTCTGCCTGCTAACAGGTTCCTGGGTGTGTTTTGTCTCCCTCTTCTGCTGCTCCTCTCCCTGGCTGCAGCTCAGCCTGCTTGTGAGTGATGCTCCGGACCTGTCAGCTGGGGTCACCTGTCTCTTCGGAAACCTGACGGAGGTGGAAGGGCAGGTTTCGGGCAGCCAGGTGGTGTGTGTTTCACCAGCAGCGAAAGATGTTCCTGCCATACCCGTGGATCAAGGTAAGTCACTGACTTCTGGACAGTAACACAATATCTGTGCCACCGGAAAGTGTGGCGTAGGTTTGGAAGTGTCTGCTCAGCAGAGCAGACCCTTTTTGGGGCTGCTGCTGGAAACATTGGTGCTCCTGTCAAAGAGCATTGAACCCAGGGAGCTAAAGGAAAATACTCCTTTAGGAATGCATCACACACAGGGAAATATGAGGGTGGGAGCAGGGAGCACCTAGTGCTTGCCCTGTCCTTACCCCTCTTGCTGTGCAGCCAGGCAGCTCCCCAAGGCAGGACAGGACCCATCTGGGTGTGCTCAGGAGTGAGCCAGGGGCTCATAGCCTTGCCTCACCAGGTGGATCTGGACTAAGGGAGCCCTCCCTTGGCCTGGCTCAGCACCCACAAGTAGGTGGATGCAGTTTCTATTTTTCGGTCCTGATCTTTGGGTTGTTTCCTCATTAATGTCACTGCTGTCATATTCTCTCTTCCCATAACCAAAATGCTGCTTGCTTAAAACTCATTTTCTCCTTGGCATCCTTCCAGGTGTCAGCTGTGTTTCCCTGCTGGTATCTTTGTGTTTCTAAGTCATTATATGGAGCCGGAGATTTGGTGAACACTGGGGCTGCGAGCTGCCATGGTAGTAGGCCTAGTGTAGACTTACTCACAGCAGCTCCACACAGCAATCTGCTCTTAATTAACTCAGTGCTAAGAGCTTCACTAATGCTCTCGTTTCCAGCATTGTCTCATTCAATTCTTGGGCTGTTTCTCAGAGGAGACTAAAGCAGTGGTTTTATACTGGAGACAGAATCCTTTAGGGGACAGGACGAGATTCCAGAATCATTTTGACTGTGACCCAGTGCAGTGCTTAGACCCTGTGTCTCCAATGCATTTTGCCATCAAGTCTGTTTGGGTTTGGAGTCATTGCTGGAGACAGCCAGCCCAGCACCCTTGGGTACTTGAGGGCAGGGTCTGGGGGGGGATGCTCAGCCCCCAGCCTGGGGAACTGCTGCAGACTCACCATGGGGGGAGCAAGGAGATGAAAGCAACCTGACTGCCACCTTCTATCCCAAGAGCGGATGGCTCAGCACACTGGCAGGCAGGGAGTGGGTGACTCTGTGCCTGCTGTTGCTTCCTTCCTTACTGCTGGCAGGACTGACAGGCTCTGGTTTGCATCCCCAGACTGGTTCGGCGTGGTGCTGCAGCTGAAGTCACGGGAGACCGGGAGGATGTTTGTCAGCACGGAGTTCAAGTTCTACAACTGCAGTGCCCACCAGCTGTGAGTGCTCCCTTCCCATCCCTGAGCAGAGCTAAACACCTCTGAGAGCACAGAATCCCAGTCTGGTTTGGGTTGGAAGGAACCATCCAGTTCCAACCCCTGCCCCGGGCAGGCACAGCTTCCACTAGAGCAGGTTGCTCCAAGCCCCATCCAACCTGGCCTTGAACCAACCGGGCCTTAAACGGCAGGGGAGGGGGCAGCCACAGCTTCTCTGGGCACCCTGTGCCAGCACCTCAGCACCCCCACAGGGAAGAACTTCTGCCTAATACCTTATCTAAATCTGTGAAATGAATGCTGGGCTTTGGGATCAGCTGGCAGGGTTATTGCTCTCCTTGGTTCATCCAGCAGACACGTGTGTTAGAAGGGGCGCCCACCTCTGTCTGTCTTCTCTGAACATCTCTGGGTGCTCATGTAGCTTTCTGTGCCTTGGGAGATGCAGGTGGAGTGAGCCTGAATAAACCTTAACCTGCTGGTGCCCCCAAGCTGCGTGATCCCGCAACTGTGAACTCAGATGCAGCTTTGCAGGCAGCCAGTGAAGGCAGAGCAGAGGGTGCTGAGGTAGGCTGCAGGCAATCAGAGGAGGCAGAGCCCTTCCACACTGCGCACGCTGCCCAGGACAGCAGGGTGCTGGCAGCTGTGTGGATGCTCCATGGGGTGATACAGGAGGAGATAGCAGCAGGGACTGAGCTGCACGTCTCCAGCCCTGGGGTCTGAGCGCAGCAGTTGTATTTTAGATGGAGTGAGCAGGAGTGCTGGTGGCAGGAGCTCCTTGCAGCCTGCTTGCCCCCTGAGAGCCCAGTACACCAGCATTGAGCTGCTCCATGTTGGGTTCAGTGCTGCTAAGCATCGTGGAAATGTATCCGCCATGGACACATCTGCTGGGTGCAGCTGCCTGGCCTTAAAAACAGTTTTACAGACCTTGAAGCACTGAGCGGAGGTACCAGGATGAAAAGAGCACTGTGAGTCCTTCAGTCCCCTCATGGTGCCTCTTCATGTATCCATTACCCCAGTGATTCTGTCATGCTACATCTTGTGCACAGCTCTGTCCTTATGTCCTTGTCCCTCAGCTGGGCTCTCCAGCACCAGCCTCTCCTGGCTGTGAGCACTTGCAGCCCCTCCAGCAGTTCCTCTGCATTCTCATGGGTTTGAATTTGCATGAGGGATGGCATCACGGAGACCCCTGTTTTCACTTAGGAGTTTGAATCGGGAGAGGCAATGTATCTTCCTTGGCCTGTCATTTGGCTTCATCTGACCATGCCTTTCCACCAGCTTGTATTTGGAGATAAAGTGCTAACGGGGTGGTAAATCATGCAGCACTTAGATCATACCACACTTGTTATCAGGGAGTTCAACAAGGGCACGAGCCAGCCTGGCAGGAATAAATCACAGCATGCAAAAAGGAAGGAGGAAAACAGGTCTCAGCCAGCAGAGAAGAGAGACCTATTGATCCTGAGACTCTTCATTGCAATGGTGAGGGTGTCTAGAGAGGGCAGGGGAGCAGCTGTGCTGAGGTGGTTCAGGACCCAGGTGCATGAATTTCTGCATCTCAGGGAGCTGCACGTGGGTCAGTGAATGTGGTGATGGCTTCTGTGTTAAATCTCTTTTAATAGAAGTAATAGATGAGGTGGAAAGATGCAGTTTCTGAAGCAAAAGAGAGATAGTGGCCCTTAAGAAAGCTTGATGAAAGAGCAAAGGTGGTGACCTGGTGTAAGCCTGTGATTGCTCAGGATCCTGCCAGCGCTGAGCAGAGCTGAAAGCACCAGCCAGAAACCTACAGTAGAGTGAGAGATGCCAAACCAAGCATGGGCCTGGGTGATCAGAGAGGTCCTCCTCCACTGGCACCAGTTGGGAAAGCTGGAGGGCAGGTGGGAGAAGTGCTAGGGACTGAAATGGGTCAAACAAATGAGTAATTAAAAAAGCTTGCAGCACTGGATATCCTTCCTCAGATTTGCATGCGCATGATTAGAATAAGCTTCCTTAGCTATTAAGGTCACTATGAATGCCTCAGAAGGAAAATACAATTGAGGTATTAAAACTCAAATGTGTTCTTGTGGCAGCAGCCTGCTAGAGGCATTGCCCAGCTGGCAACAGAGCCTCTGCCCCGAGCCCTGCATCCCTTGCTTTCCAGTTTTCTCCCTAAAGCCATGCTCCTGCTTCCCTGCTGATGCTCATGTACCCGCACTGATGCTGGGATCTCTCCAGTGCATCCTTGCCTGCTCCAGGCAGCACCACCATCTCTGGACTGCAGCGTACACCACGGAGCTGAATCCCATGGGCACAGCTTATGCTTAGCCCAGCAGACGGTCACCAGACCACTGCCACATGGCACAGAGGGTTGGCCTCATAGACAAGGAGATGGTCACTGCAGATATTAGCAGCTCTCACGGACCGTGTCTCTAATGGGCAGCCAGTTAGTGTGGAATGAACCTCCCCCCCCAGGCAGTTTACTGGCAGCTGGGCCACCCTATGTCTGAAAAGGGTCTGTGTTCTTTCAAAAGCATTTCATAAACAGTTTATTTCTTCCAACGTGAATCTGTGTTCTATGTGATCTATGAAAAGCACTTGCTGGACTCGCTGCACTCCAAGGCCAAGCAGAAGTGTTACTGTTGACTTGAAGCATTCCTGACTTGTAAAACAACTGATCCAATTTTTCCAGCCTTGCCTTGTTTCCCACTTTCTAGAAACTAAAAAAAACCCCAAGTCCGGTGCCTGTGCAATATTGTGCTTTATTTTACACCAGTGCAATGATGTGCAATAAATCCCAGCCTGGGTTTTATTACTAAATGAATTGGGAGGTTGCTTAAAGACTGTCTCTTGAGCGCATGTTTTCCCAAACCTGTTCGTTGGAACTGAACATCCCTCCAAAGGAATTACTTTCCCATGAAGGAGCCTGAACCTGGGCTCCTGGCTAGGCCTGTCTCTTACCTTATACACCCCCCAAGGTGATAACCTCCTCTAAAACTCCTCTTTCTTCCCCCAGGTGCCTGTCCTGTGTGAACAGTGATTTCCGCTGCCACTGGTGCAAGTACCGGAACCTCTGCACCCACGACCCCACGACGTGCTCCTTTCAGGAGGGACGGATCAACGTCTCTGAGGTACTGGACCAGGGTTTTAGCTCTTTCTTCTTTGCTGTCTGAAGTTATGGCAGGAGCTCGACTGTGAACTGATTAAGAAGGGAATTACAAATGTGAACAGCTCCAGTCTTTGGGAAAGAGAATTGATGCAGGTTCCAGTGCTGTGGACCCCGAGCCATCTCTCTTAACAGTTAATAAAAGGTGTGGGGCTCAAGTCCAAAAATGCTTTTAATGGTTGGAAGGAGGCATAGCCCATCAACAGCTCTGCCAGGTCTCCTGCATGTCCCAAGGCAGAGGGATCCATGGATGAAAGGAGTTTCTGTTCAGTTCCTGATCAAAGATTACCACTAACCCCTTGGTCTGAGGTTTCTGCACCCGTTGTCCAGTTCCCACACTGCTGCCTGCTTCAGGCTCACTAGATACAGGGCAGATACAGCCTCTGACGCTGGTAAGGTCCTGTTCTTCATCCTTACTGCCCCTCCACGAGCTTTGTAGCACCTGAAATGGGTGCAGGTCCTAAAGCTCTAAGGAGATAAAAAAGGGTTTAAAAGGTCCTTTGAAAATCTTGTGTCTCAGAAAGTGGGAAAGGCAGGAGTGAGGGCATACATGAGTGTTAGAAGAAAGGACAGTAGGATTAGCCAACATCCAGTTAAACCCTTATCAGTGAGTAATAGAGAAAAGCAGAAGAGATTGGTCAGTAGAGTAGGACTCCGAGCTGTTAAAAAGAAGTGATTTTAGCTGCTGCTAAACCAATAGTAAACTTGAAACTTAACTCAGGGGTCTTTCTGGTTAAAATGCTGCTAGAAGGCACATGGATACAAGGCAAGAAACGTTAATGAACTGCATGTGCACAAACCTCAGTGAGAACCAAGGGGTGGGCAGTATAACAGGGAGCCTTGCTGGTTGCAAGGGACAAGAAGGAAGCTACAGCAGCAGCCTCAAAGTGTTGTCCCATGCAGCAAAGGGAATGGATATCCAAGGAGAAGCATCCACCCTTGGGACAAACCAAAAGCTTTCTCAGTCCGGTTCAAAGTCAAGCAACTTCCTTTCAACATAACAAGAGAAAGCAAACCCATTCGCTTCTCCTTCTCTTGAGTGATGTGGGGATTTTTCTTCTTCACACTCAAAGCATCACTGTCCTCTGAGGCTTTACAGTTGTAGTTCTCAGTTCTATAGGTCTTCAACCCCATGATCTCAGAAGTGTTTGAGAACTCTCTGGTAAAGCAGGACAATCCCATTATCTCAGTTTTTCTCCTGGGAACACACAGGACTTGCCTGAAATCACACAGAGGGAGCAAGTGGAGGAGTTGGTATCTCTGCCAGTTCCTGCTGGGATCACAGAATTGTTGCATCTCCAAAGAACTTCCTTTGTCATCTTCATCTTGTAGAGGTTGTTTCTTACCAGGGGATGTTATGCGCTCTCTCATGTGCTATCACACCTTCCTAGTGATAACTTTTGGTAAGGGTTGATGATTAACGATACAGATGCTCCACTGTTCATTGTGACTTCTCCAGACCTCTGAACAGGCAAAACCAGCCACCAAAAGCTAATTTGCTTGCTTATTTAAAGTACACACAGTGCAGTGCTAATGCCTTTGTCACGGGCATTTCACTCCAGCTAACACAAAACATGAAATAAATGCCTCATAAAGAATTTTCTCTCTGAAAACAATTCAAATCACAACGTTTTCATTGTGGCATGGCCTGATGTGTTAGCAAAAGGTTCGTGCTTACCAGCATCACTCCCTTCCTAGCAGAAGGTTGGGTTTAGAGCTGGAGCATGGTGATAACCATAGCAGTGCCTCCACCATGGAGCAAGCAGCACCAGCATGTGCTGCCCTACTTTCAGTCCCATGTGCCTCCCTCATGTAAGATTTGCACATGTTCACGTGGGGGTGGAAATTTTCTTGTGCCTTTATATTTAATTTAAGAGAAAAATATCTTTAATATTCCCTCTTACTCCTGGCCCGTCAGAATTCATGTCCCAGTGGGATTCGATGCGTAACAAACTCCCTTTGATGCTCCTAGGAGTCTATCTTGAGGAGGGAAAATTGCTCAAAGCCTCAGCTGGTTTACAAGGTGATAAGGGAAAGAAAGCCCTTCTTCATGATCTGTACACTTGCTCCTTGCCATCTCCTGGTTGTACTGACCAAGGTAAATCATAGAATCACAGATTTGGTTTGGAGTCATTGATAGATAAATACAGAACCCTTCAGAGCCTTTAAAGCAGAGATGTCTTCCAGGGCAGAGCTGGTTCTTAACATCCTCCGGCTGGTGGGAAGTTTCTGACATGGGGTAAACCCAGCTCTTTTGAGGCCTCTGCTTTCAGGTGGTCAGATAATAATTAGGTAAGCAACTCTCTTTTCTTAGCCTTTTCTTAGCCTGAGGCTTCATTCTCCACAAAGGTGCCTGCTTGGACATTGCTATCCAAAGAGCAATGGGCACGCAAAGGTCTGGGGCTGGCTTGCACCCACGAAAGTTTCTCTAAGAAGAGGTCTGTGGGTGTATAGCACTGACTGTTTCACTTCACAAAGCTTTGGATCAGGCCTGTGATAGTGATACCACTTTAATGTGTCTGAGGTGGCTGGGTTAATGTGCATGAGACTATAAGATGTCTCTTTTAAGATGTATAAAAGAGGAATGTAGATACATAGGCATGTTTACAGCCTATCCTAATGGAGGCTAGAACCATATACATCGTGTTACTTACCCAGAATTTGGGATTCTGTCCCTCTTTCATGTCTACTGAGTGCAGATGATGCCATTTCACGTGTGAGATGCTGAATAGGGGTCAGAGTGTTTCAGATTCTGGGAGGTTAATGCAGAGCCAGATTTTGGCTCCAGTCCGACTCTAAATTCTCAGTTGGTTTAGGGCAACATCTTTGCCCCTGGCTGTGCCCTTAGATGCCAAATGCTGCTTGATGTGCCTTGAAGGATATAAAACAAAATCAAACCTTCTTCATGTCTGTTTTTCTAATCCCCATTGTTGAATATCTAAATGGGAACTGTGATACTTAGGAGATAACATGGTGCCGCATCTAGGTCCACCAGAGTCAGCAGATGACTTTGCTGGGTCACACCTAACTTCTGGAGGGATGTGTTTGTCTAACAAGGTACCACATAGTACCAATAGTATACCAATAGTAAGAAAAATATCGCAGTACTTCATCCATTAATAGGTTGCAGCACATGTGTAAAGCGCAGAGCTCAGGACAGAAGGGCATTGGGTAGGAGTTGCCTTTCTTTTCATGTCTGGTTTCTGAGGAGCAAGGTCTACTCTCCTTTCCAGTAGCATAAATGACGAATAATGTGGTTCTGTGAGTGACAGGATCTGTAATTTACATCATTGGGAACACAACTGGGAGCCAGAGGTTTACATTCATGTGCCAGATTCATTTATGTTTATAACTTTCAAGTATGTGTAGCAAGTTAACATATGTGGAGAGCTGTTTTTTTTAAGATGAAAAGTATGAAAACAGTGTCTTTTCTTCTATTTGGGCTAAATCCCATTTCTAGGCATTTTTTATCCAAATAAGAACAATATTTGACCTACTAAAACTGCTCTGTTTTAAACACAAATACTAACCATTGGTGCTGTGTTCTGCTCCAGAGCCATGTGTATCAAAGGGGAGGCTTTAAGATATTTATAGACCCTGGAATCTTTGAGGCTAAAAAGTGTTGGAGAAGCATAAAATGCCTTTGTAAATGATGTGCAGTGATACTTCATAGGCAGAGTCTGTGCCACTCCTGCATCAGAGTCTTGTCTTTCTCCAGCAGATTTGTGTTTATTCTGGTTCACAGAAGTCAAGCAGGATAATGAGAGGATTCAGGACGTGTTTGTTCAGCGAGAGGAGGCGGTAATGGCCTTTCTAACTCACTGCAGGCTTTGCTTCTCATGAACTAAAAACCAAAGTAAACTGATTATAGAACAAATTGCATATTCTGGCTGCAGTATCCCTTTTATTCTGTGTTTTCTGGATGCTCAGCTCTTCCTAGTGTGGGGAAGTGCAGAATCAAGCCCTACAAACAGGAGCTGCCTCCCCGGGGGCTTCCCAGCGGTGTGCACTCCCAGGCTCTACGCCTCTTCTTCCCCAGAATCCCAATGTGAGATTTTTTTCTCCCACTGAAAACCAAAGGGAAAGATATCTATTATGTCCTACTCACCTCTAATGATGGCAGAATAATTTTTGCTACCAGCATTTTCAGCTCTAGAGAGCAGATTTCAAATGTAAGTCCTTTCCCATATCTCTAAAGAGAGAAGCGTTTCTTTAGCAGTCAGCTCACGAATGGCAGTGGCCAGGAAGGATAATGGTCCATAACATATTCATTATTTTCAGGACTGTGCACTGAGGTTCTCCTACTAGTGATGTGACTGGAGATTTTTTTGTTTCCAGTCATGATGTGATAAAAGATACTGTGGCTCCAGGTTGTCTTTATGTCTTTTCTCCCAAAGACGGGCTTTGCACAGAGCTGAGGACCTTTGTTTCCTCCTGGTCTTGTTCAAGGCCAGGTTGGACGGAGGCTTGGGCAACATGGTTTAAGTGTGAGGTGTCCCTGCCCATGGTGGGGTGGGTGGAACTAGATGATCTTAAAGTCCTTTCCAACCCAAACTGTTCTGTGATTCTATGACTTTAAGGTTGAATGCAAAACCTTAAATGCAGCCAGATCTCGAGCAGGAGGAGGTACAGGTTTGCGGTGCACCATAGAACGTATATGCAAAGTGAACTCAGTATGGATGGAAGCCTCCATGAATCTTAGGAGTTTGCTGGTGGTGGTGCAAAGGCTGAGCTGGGGGCTAGATCCATGATAAGATCCATGATACCAAGGTCTGCAGGAACCTGCGAGCTAGGCATCACAGTGGCATTCCCTTCCAGCCTGCAGTCCTGCTCCACTACAGAAAAGGGCTTTTTTTTTTTTTCCCTTCCCAGCATAGCTGCTTTCTGGCCATTGGAGTTTAAACTTGCTCTTGGCTGTTAATCCATGAAAGTCCCTGTTAGGAATAAAATCAAAAATATATAAGGAAAAGTGCCACTAAAAGGGTTTATGAGGCAGCCGTTCCAGCTACTGCCTTCTCCAAACCGGGGTAGCATCTGGTTCTCATTTACTACTTGCCTGAGCCAGTAGTGAAACAACATCCCATCGGCCTGGCTGGGAGCTAGAGAAGGGAGCGTGGCTTGGCGTGTGTCACGGTCATTAGTGGGAAATGGGGATTTTCTCCCTGGATATGCAGTCCTGGTGGGAGCCTGGGGAGGATGGTGATGGCTCTCTTTGCGTTTCCATCTGGGTGATGGACTTTAATCGCTTGGCAGGGTGGCAAAGGGCTTGGGATGCCAGTGTGGGATTTGAGAGAGGGAAGGGAGATGTCAGTCCAGTTTTATACTTCAGATTGGGATTAATCCTTCAGTGTCAATGCTTACAGGTACTTAGGTACCTAGTTCCATTAGATCAAAGCAAATCAGAGTTAAACAGTATGTAAATACTTCTGATGGTCAGAGCCTTTATTCTCTGCATGCTGCAGTTGTGGGTATGTAAATTGAGAAGAAACTGTATCTCCTGGTGTGTTATGAAGAGATAATGTTGAGATCTTATGGGAGGAACGTTGTACAATTACCAGGCACTGATAGGTCTTGTTTTGCTGTTCATTTCAGCTGTGGCTGCCCCATCCCTGGCAGTGTTCAAGGCCAGGTTTTACAGGGCTTGTTGCAGCCTGGTGTAGCTGAAGGTGTCCCTGCCTGTGGCAGGGATTTGGAACTGGATGAGCTTTAAGGTACCTTCCAACTGAAACCAGTCTGGGATTCTGTGACCTAGTTCATGCTTGTGGGGAACTGGAGGTCTGCTCATCTGTGGAATGAGGATTGCAGGGAGACTTTCCTTTTATTTTGGAGACAGCAAAATCTTCTGCAATATTAAAACTTGTTACTAATTTACAGTTGCATGATTTTGGACAGATAGTGGCAGAAGTGGAAGCAAATCACACTTCTCTGTACTTAATGTTTTAATTGCTGTGCTTAGTCTTCAGAATATATAGTTTTGGAGGCAGCATCATTTTGCTCTTTTCTTTGCTCCTTTATTGCAATCACACAGATGTTTGAAATATTTTCACGTGGTTTTCAATGGAAGACTTAAAGACTGCTTCCAGTTGCGTGATGGTTTTTGTACTCAAAAACCAGGCTGTTTTCAGGGATTGGGGAACTATCCTTGCACATTCCTTCACTGCATTGAGCTATGAACTCCTGAGCTCTAACTTGTTCATAGAATGATCATCAAGGATGAAGTATCATTCTTTATGTGAAGTGAATGAAGTGAAATGAAATGCCTTTGTACTGTTTTGTCTCGGCCCCACTGCCTCCCTTCTCCTCCTCCGGGCTCCCACTGAGCAGCCTCTCCCTGCTTCTGGAACTCAGCATCCCTCCCTTTTTCTAGTTGTCTCCCAAAATGCCTTTGCTGTGGCCTGGCAGGGTGATTGATAGTTCTGTGAGGCTCTGGCTGTAATATACTTCTCAGTTTGCATTTGACTTGGAAAAGTGCATTCCTGGAGCAGCTCCTGATTGCATCCTGGAGGTGCAGAAAGACTTTGATCTGCAGCAGGAGCTGGTGTCCGTTGGTTTGAATCGTTGAGCTTGGCTGGGACATCACCTTCCTCCTGCTCATGGGGCTGGCACGGTCCCTGTGCGGGCCAGCAGCTTGGGTTTGCTCTTGCTAATGTAAAAAACTTGGGGTGCCTGTGCCCCAAGAGTGGGAGGCTTAAGGCTGAGAATCACGTACTGGCTTGGGTTAAACTGGTTTGGACCTTAAAGCTGTGTGAGCTGCAGGCAGGAGCATCGCAGTGAGGTGTCGGAGCATGGCAGGGGGTGGAACAGACAGAGCAGAAATTAACATCACCTCAGAAATTAATGGAGGCATTTTACTCAGATAACACAGAGCAGAACAGTACCTGGTAGCGAGAGGGAAGCACATCCCATGCTTCACATAGCCGAGGGGTGTAAGGATGAAATGGGATTGGGAGCAGCCCATTGCCTTCCCGGAGAAGTGGGGCTTAGGCAGAGCTGGAGCAGCTGATAACACACAGCCACTGCTGCAGGTGGGCAGGGTGAGAGCTTGTGTCTCTGCAGATAAAACCCACGGCAAGCTCAGAGCAGGGAGAGAGCCTTCCATTGATTCTCTGAATAAGTGACATTCCTTCTGTGCTGAGAAAATCAGTGTCAGCCTCAACGCGGGGGGACTCTTCATCAGGGAGTGTAATGATAGGACAAGGGGTAATGGGTTCAAACTTAAACGGGAGATTTAGGTTGGATATAAGGAAGAAGTTCTTCCCTGTGAGGGTGCTGAGGCGCTGGCACAGGGTTCCCAGAGAAGCTGTGGCTGCCCCATCCCTGGCAGTGTTAAGGGCCAGGTTGGACACAGGGACTTGGAGCAACGTGCTCTAGTGAAAGGTGTCCCTGCACATGGCAGGGGGTTGGAACTGGATGAGCTTTAAGGTCTCTTCTCCAACCCAAACTAGACTGGGATTCTATGATTCTGCATTTAACCTGCAGCTGCATCGGTGGACGGAGAAGTGGCTGGTGCTGTGCACTGAGGATGTGCTCGAGCATCAGCCCTGCCCGTCAGAGCAGGGACCAAGACCTGGCTGGAACTGCAGATCACCATTACTGCTGTAACCTCTCCCTCTCTTTTATTGCTCCTGCAGGACTGTCCCCAGCTCTTCCCCACAGAGGAGATCCTGATCCCAGTGGGAGAGGTGAAACCCATCACACTGAAGGCAAGAAACCTGCCCCAGCCCCAGTCTGGCCAGCGCGGGTACGAGTGTGTCCTCAGCATCCAAGGCGTGATCCACCGCGTGCCTGCCCTGCGCTTCAACAGCTCCAGCGTCCAGTGCCAGAACAGCTCGGTGAGGGACCAGCACGGTGCCCAAAATGGGTGTCAGATGCGAAGGGGATGGATGGGCTCAGCCATGAGGAAAGTGGAAAATCAGGAGTTAAACTAATCCTGAATTCCTGGTGGGAACCTGCCGTGGCCGTGCAAGGTGTTTCATTATAGCACCAGCTGGGAGAAGATCCCTTATCTGGCAGTTCCCTGTCTGACTGAGGGGGGTCACCAAAGTGGAGGAGGAGGAGGAGGGAATGCAACCAAAGGTGTTAAGGCAGACTAATTCACATGAGGGAGATAAGGCGAATCACAGACCCCTTATCGGGGAGCTGTCGAATTCCAGGTCACGGTAGCTGCATGAATATAGTAATGCTGAAAAGCAGCGTGTGCAGGGAAGGCGGGGGAAAGGAAAACTGCTGGGGGAGAGAGCACAGCGCAGCAGAGAGCGGGAAATCATCTGAATGATGCTGCTGAGGAGCCAGGCAGGGGAGGGTGGCTCTCCTCCATAGAATGGCGCTTAGCCCTGCCGATGGACCTGGAACATTTTAACCCAGAACACCCAAAGTCACTGTGGCAGGTACTCAGGGGTGCCAAAACATGAATGGCAAATGCAGCCCATGTTTGGTCTCATGTGGCACACTCCAGCTGGAGGACGGGAAGAGAAGACTATGGTCCTTCTCCCCCTTTCCATGCATTTGAAGATGTCCATGGGCAAAGAGGGCACATTCAGTTTGGTTTAGGCAGCAGAACAGGGTCCACTTTAATATTCAGCGCAGATGGTCTTAAATTGTTAATGAAGTTTTGAATTTTTAACAATTTCACTGGATATTTATATATCAGTGGCCATCTTTGGGCCTTGCAGCTTGGTGGATAATAAATGTATTAATACTATAGAGTACTTTTCCTACCCAAAGAGATTTATAAACATTAGGGACACACTTTTATTCCTGTTAGGCTACTAGGAAGTGGTAAGTAGAGTGCATAAGGGCAATTCTGTACTCACAGCCTATCATTTGTGCAGAAGATCTACTTTCACAGCAACTTAGTAAAACTCAGGCCAGGTGAATCAGGACAACCAAATATAAAAGTTAAAACTGTACAACTACTGCACAGGGGACAGTCAAAGCAATCTGCTTTGGTTTAATCATCATTCCCTCATTCCAAAGAGAGTGGCAATGTTCATTCACTTTTTTAAGTCTCTTTAGCAGCTCTTGATTTACTGAAAGAGAATAACAAAAAGAGGCCTCATTGGTGCTCATTGTGAGAATGGGAATTTCAGAATACCCAGGGAATTCACCTAAAGCATCCAGATTCCCTCAGCCACAGCCCTCAGGATGTCCATGAGAAGGTGATAATTCAAGCCAGTGCTATCCTAGATTAGGCTGAAACAGAGATTGGGAAAGGACCTCTCTGCACCATCTATTTTTTCTCATCTGTGGCCTATTTTCATCAGGCAGAACTTTGCAGCGTAATTTTTAAGCTCCCAGTCACACTAGGGTGCATGGTGATTGTGTGACACGATAGAAAGCAGCAGTCCTTCCACTCTGATTAACTGGAGGGGCTATATTGATAAGTTAGAGACTGAGTGACGAGCAACCACTGTGTGTGAAATAATTAATCTGTTACCTCTCACAAGGACTAGATCTGATTTAATTATCTCTTCCTGGTGAGGAGGAGGCAGTCAAAGCAGGACCCTGGAGATGAAGTGTAGAACTGTGGTGGTTCAGACATCAGCGGGTTTTAAGCAGAGAATAATCATGGGTTCTTTAAAAAAGAATTCTTTTCCTCTTAGTGCCTCTGGTACATCCTCCCAACCATTTCATTCTCAATCTTCTCCTTCAGTATCTCTATGATGGGATGGACATCAGCAACTTAGCAGTGGGCTTCGCTGTGGTTTGGAATGGGAACTTCATTATTGACAACCCGGAGAATCTGAAAGGTAAAGTCTGCTTGAGTTAGCTTTCAAGGCATGGGAAGGAGGATGGTGATGGGGCTGGAGTGTGGCTGTTGGGGCAGCATTAGCTGCCATCAGAGGCATTGTGGTCCTGGTGGATCCTGCTGTGGATAAGAGCAAACTCACTCTGCTCCACTGATAGTGGTGCTCGCTAAGCGCCACTGATACAGCCTGGGCTGTGGGAACCACATATGCAAGTCCAATCTACAGCTTGTTAAGTCAAAAGATGTTAGATACTACATTTAGATATTAGGAAAAAATCATCTTCCTGATGAGAATGTGGTGAGACAATGGAAAGGTTGCCCAGAGAAGCTGTGGCTGCCCCATCCCTGGCAGTGTTCAAGGCCAACTTGGACACAGGGGCTTGGAGCAATGTGCTCTAGTGGAAGGTGTCCCTGCCCGTGTCAGGGGTTGGAGCTGGAGGCACTTTAAGGTCCCTTCCAACACAAGCCATTCAATGATTCTATGAAAATTCAACATATGCCTTTGCTTATAATTCCAAGAGCAGCTGTAGTTCCATGTGACTCAGTTCTTGACTTCGCATTCAGTGCCCATCCCCTCTTCCCACAGTGCACCTCTACAAGTGTGCAGCCCAGCGTGAGAGCTGTGGGCTCTGCCTCAAAGCTGATCCCAAGTTCGAGTGCGGCTGGTGCAGCGGCGAGGCCAAGTGCACGCTGCGGCCGCACTGCAGCGCGCCCTCCGCACAGCCCTGGCTCGACTGGTCCAGCAGGAACGTCAAGTGCTCCAACCCTCGCATCACCGAGGTAAGAGCACACATCTCCGGTCCTTCTCCAGTCCAAGGCCAGGTTGGAGCAACCTGCTGTAGTGGAAGATGTCTCTGCCCGTGGCAGGGGGTTGGAACTGGATGAGTTTTAAGGTCCCATTCAACCCAAGTTATTCCATGATTCTCCTCACTCCATCCAAAATGGATTAGGGTCTGTCTCTTTCTTGCCTGAAAAGCCACCATAGTCTGTTTGGTGCTGAAGAACAAGGAATAAAACATTCCACTGCTTCCCATGAAATTAATGTGTGGATCCAGGCACGTGGCTGGGGTGCTCAGCCCACTGCCCCACAGGCAGTTGTCACTTGCCAGTGATGCTACCAGCATTGGGGTGACCGCTACGGACTGTTGCAAGAATGCTAATTAAACTAGGGAGTTAATTAGTCTATAGATGATGCTTCTGCTGTTTCTGTTCAGGCCACTGAGGGATGCAAAATGTCTCCCAGGAGCATTTTTACCAGTAAAACTCTACTTGGTCTGTTAACGTTACCATTAGGAGTGACACTCAGGTGGGAATGAAAGAAGGCTTTGGTTTCACACTTAATTAACTCCTCCTAAAAAGCCTCCCTTGCCCTGAGTGTGTGGCCATAACTGCAGAAGGTGTTGGATCCAAGTAGCCTGTTGCACTGATGCTCATGGCGGGGCAGCACACAGGCTTCTGCCAGCTGAAAAAGGACCCCAGTACATGTGGAAGTTGCCTTTTAACTCACATTAGTTTCTACACCAGCTTAGCTAAAGCAGCTCATTCTCACATGCCTTGGGATGAAGGCATCATCCTCCTTTTTATGGAGGAGGGGAGGAAACCACAGAGGCTGGTGGTGCTGTATCGGGGCTGGGGATGGAAGAGGATGTGACTATGGGGGGTCCATCCATCCTCAGGGACATTAGTAGGCTTTTGGTATTTCTTTCCTAGACTTTCTCCTCAGCTGCACTGTATATTTAATGGGCAGGTATTTCTCTTGTGCTGTGTTTTGTGTGCTGCAGAGTGGAGCTTGTGAGGCTGCAGAGGAGCAGAAGTGGCTCCGACCATGCAGAGACATGAAAGCATTGAGAAATGTTGAGAACCTGTCCTTTGGTTGGTTGGTTTGGCAAGTCATAGCTATCTTTACAGAGAGATAAAATGAGCCTTAAAGGCTTGCCTAGATATTCACCTTGTCCTGCCAGTACTCAGAAACCACAGATTTCTTATCTGAGTGTTGTTCTTCTTGCACAAGTTTGTGCTGTAAGATGCGAGAAGCAAAACAGCCTCTGCCTGAGACTTCCTTCACCATAAACCATTCAGACCGTTGTTACATTGACGAAGTCTCAGAAGTCATTTATTCAACCCTCCTTAAGCTAAGCAGAGAAGGGGAAAAGCACTGCTCCAGCCACCCAGTGACTTGCATCTAAGCTCTGCCAGGCTGGCTGCAGGCATGGCGCTGCCACCAAGTGTTTTATCACCATCCAGCTTGAAAACAACACTTTTGGTCTCTGTCCAAGGAGAAAAGAGCAAAGCTTTGCTGCTACAGATTTCTTGTCTCCATCACCAGGTCTGTGTCTCAGCCTTCAAAGCGGGAAGAGCAGGGTGCCTTGCCAGGGGATGTTCTGAGTCTCAGGAGATTGCTCTGAGTGGATTCAGAGATGTGGGAATCAAGGAGGAAATCTGTGCTTTCCTTGGCAGATTGGCTTATTCCACAGAGAGGCTTAGCAATAGAAAACACAGGTTTCAGGGGGACGTATCATCCCATGGCCTCTGCTGACTCTGGCAGCACTCTGAGCTGTTGTGATCTGATCACAGTGTTTGGTGGTTTTCCTTGAACTCCACCTCCCACCCTGCTCCTTATGAATTTACAGCTTTGTTTTTTTTATTCTTCATGAAAAATCAAGTTTGCCAGTTTCATTGTTGTAGAAAAAGAAGGGGAATGAAGCAGAGGGAAGCAGCGGCCTTTTTGTGTGCTTCGACATCCAGCACTGAGATGGCTGAAATCAGACCTGTCAACGGCACTTCTTTAGCCCCTTCCCCTGAGATTATATTGGAGACCATAAGACCTTTACGGCCTTCACTGCAGTTGGGTCCTTTTTGCTGCCGTCTGAGTTGTTTCAGTATTTTGGGTACCAGTTTGCAACATCCAGTGCTGGGAAAAGACCCCTGTGCCCTGCTGGGACCAATTTGCTCCTGGCAGGTCTAATGCAGGTCTGGTGGCACGTTCTCCATCCTGCATGCACCAGCATTGACAGACGCAATGGGGGAACAGCGTTTGGTCTCATACTGGGGCTTATGTCACAGCCTGGATAACTCAGACTAGAAGAGCCTTCAGTACGGGCTGTTTCCTGCTCCTTTTGCTTCATGTGGCCAGGTTCTATCAAGCCAGAGGTCAAGGGCCTGGCTCAGAGGCACCAGTGCCTTTGGGGGATGCATAACTAGTAAGAAGAGATTCTGTTTTAATAGCCTTAAAAGTAAATGAGCAGCAGGATCTTTTCAGTCCTGTTTCTGAGTGAGAGGCCCAGCCATCACCCACAGTGTCCCTCTAACAGTGTAAAACTTCCACATGGTCTGTGGTCTGAGCAATAAATAAATAACCCTCCGTTTTCTTGTGAACAAGAGGCACTCTGATCTCCTATTCATTTATTTGCAGACCTCATTAATATAACATCAGTGCAACAAACAGCTGAAGGGGGGGGGCAGTGTCAGGCTGAATAATGGAGTTGCTCTGCTGAGATAACAATTAGGTTCTGAATGTGCTATCAGCTAAGGCAGAGACAAGAAGGGATCATGCTGGGATGACAATGCTTATGTGCTGGTTCCCCGCTGGGCTCATCAGCTGGCATCCAGCTAGTTTAGAGCAGGATGAAAAGAGACAAAGAGAAGGAAGGTGAATGACATTTTGGGAGGGGACAGGGGTTATGCCATTTATTCTGCAAGCCGGGTGATTGCTTTGCACCCTAACAGATGCCAAGGGGTTATTGTGTAGGATGGTCTTAGGCTCGTGGCTTGCCTCCAGCTCTGGAAGGAAAATCCCATCGGATCCACAGCCAGCCCTAGGTGTCCCTGTGTTGTGCACAGGCTTCTTCTGGAGGCTAAATATTGCTTTGTCAGGAATGCTGAACCATGCAGCCGGCAAGGCGTGAGGCTGAGAACATTTATCCTGTATCGTTATAGCAGTGTCTTCTGCAGGCTGGGGAGGCAAGTGTGCTAGCACTGTTGGGGCTCCTGGATCCCTGGGATCGCTTGGATTCCAACCTCAGGGATCCTTGGGATCCCTACCTTGGTTTCAAGTAAGGAGTGGCAATACCAGAAATGCAGTGATGCGTCTGCATCCCTTATGTGGTGTAAGGGCAGAGCGTGAAGGTAACCAAGCTCCTACCACCACCCACTTCATCTCTGTGATCTGGATCATCACTTCATCTTGGATCCCTTCTGGGAATAATACAATGCTTCACGCTTGCAGAAAACCTTTGTTAGGGGTGGTGGATTGCTCATTTGTTTCATGCCAAGTGAGGCTGATACGGACGGGAGAGGTGACCTGTTCAGGGTAATCTGGGACATCAGGAGAACCAGTTTCCCTGCCTCCCACACCTCATCTACAGCTCAATGACTTCCAAACTGCTGCAGTTTTGCAAACAACCTAAAAAACTTCCAGCAGAGATGCAGGCCCCTAAACAGTAGATGTATAATTCTTGTAATGGCCTTGGTTTTCCTTAGGTGCTCTTTGCAGCTTCACTGAGTGAAAAGCCACTCTACCGAAGTCTAGTGCTTGAGATTTGGGAATATTTCTTCCTAATCCTGTCTGTCTCTGATTAGAAATGTGAAATGTGATCATTGCCAGCCCTGCAGCTCCCGGGACAGCCAGGCTGGGGTTAGGGCACACCTGGGCTGGATTTGCTGGAGATGCCTTGGCTACCACACAAGGAGGTGACCCAGGGCTGCTGCTTGGAGGGGTCACCAGCACTTACTGTGACGGGACCTTTAAGACTTATCTTCTTTCTGTGATTTTGACTGAATCTCTCCAGCTGTAATTAATCAAATGCATCTGTTCTAACCCTGGGGCTGCTTTGTGGCACAGTTACTTCAAAACTGTTCAATTAGTGGCCACTAAAATCTAGGTCGAGTGGAGGGAGCTCCATATTGGGGATTTTCCAGGTCAGGACATCTTGAAAATACAGCATCAGCTCTGCTTTGTGTGGGGAGGCTCCACTGGTTGTGGGGAGGTCAGGAAATGGCAAACTGGGACTTCCTTTGAGCAGTGATGAGCCCACAAGTGTAAGTGCTCCAGCAAATGCATTTTAACATACTCTAGAGCTGCAAGGGACAATTGTAACTGTCAAGTATGTGAAGTGCCGAGCTGAGGTAATTCCCATTACTGGTGCAGGCCTTCAGGACTTGGTGTAATGCAATCCAACGTGATTTTGTAGTGTCTTTTAAGGGCATATAGAGCTTCACAGAGCTAAATGGTACAAGACATGCGACGTGGTGTGAGTTACGGAAAGCAGCAGCACAACACAGAGTGTATGGTGAATAAATCAGAAACCTCAGTCGTGTGGTTGAGGGCAGAGGGAGGTAGAAGCTGAAGTCTACACAGAGGAAGGAAGTGGGGGGGTTGATGTTTAGGGAACAGGCTGAACCCCAGCATGTGTGGCCAAATTCCATTCAGGAAGAGGTTTTGAAGAGCTCGTCTTTTGTCAATGGCAGGGCTGGAACAAACAAGCCTAAACAAGATTTATCCATTAAATTAATTGAATTGCATTATTGTGGATTATGTTTGTTTATGGGTAACAGCTGTAGCATGGGGAATATTAGTAACTCATCCAAGAGCAACAACGGACTGGTGGCAGATTAAGGACAACTATTTGACAGTCTTGGGTCCAATTTTGTGACTATGCATTACTGTAGTTTATCCTCCTAATTGAAGAGGATAATGTCCTTAATGAAAGTCTATAGGAGCAGAGATGATTATGGCTGAGGCAGGCTATAAACAGGCAGCTTTAAAGCACACACCTCACACTTTAACATTTCTAAGTCATTTGAGGTGCCAACTTACTAATAAAATGTGACATTAACGTTCAGGGAGCAGCCAAGGCAGGAGTTACAGATCTCCAAAGCAGCGGGCTACTTCTGAAGGGTAATTTACCATATTCTGGGTATATAAAAAAGGAGTCAGTCTCATCCTTCTGCAAGGCTTCCTGCCCATGCCTCTTGGCCAGCTCAGGGACCACAATGTCTTCTTTTGGAGCATGGCACAGATGGATTTCAGCATCCTTGGGCTTCTCAAAGACATCCAGAGGAGTCATGAGAAGGTGGCAGTGGCCTGGGTTTGGCAGCAGGAGCAGGTGGAGGTTGCAGCACTCAGCATCTCTGAGCAGCCTGTGGAGCAGATGCCTGTGGACACCAGCTCAGTATCCCTGTGTTTTGTTTTTCTCCAGATCCTGACGGTCTCGGGCCCACCAGAAGGAGGGACGAGGGTGACCATCCGTGGTGTGAACCTGGGCCTGGACTTCTCAGAGATCGCCCGTGGGGTGCAGGTGGCCGGGGTGCAGTGCACGCCGCTGCCTGAGCACTACATTGTCGCTGAACAGTGAGTGGCCTCACAGACCAAAACTGTCCCCACTGCAGGTCCCCAGGGCTGGCCAGTCCGCACAAAACCTCCTCCCTGACCTCCAGCAAACGCATAGGAAGCCAATAACATATCCAGACCCCAGACACCCTCTCTCCACCCTTTCCAGCCTTGCAGAAATGGGTCTGGAGCTGGATGGTGCCAGGACCAGGGCACATCATTCCTACAAGCATAGAATCATAGAATGGTTTGAGTTGAAAGGAATCTTAAAGCTCATATACCTCCAGTCCCCTGCCATGGGCAGATTGCTCCAGGCCCTGTCAAACCTGGCCTGAAACCCTGCCAGGGATGGGGCAGCCACAGCTTCTCTGGGCACCCTGTGCCAGCGCCTCAGCACCCCCACAGGGAAGAACTTCTGCCTTGTATCTAATCTATATCTTCCCTGTTTAAGTTTGAATCTATTATCCCTTGTCCTATCACTACAGTCCCTGATGAAGGTCCCTCTCCAGCATCCTTGTAGGCCCCCTTCAGATACTGGAAACTGCTCTGAGGTCTCAATGCAGCTTCTCTTCTCCAGGCTGAACAACCTAAAGGGGATGGTGGTGCTTGGATACTCTCTGAGGGCGTACAGCAGCCCTTTAAGCTTTCATTAAGTGTTTTGTTTCCTCCTGCTTTGCTAAGCAACTGTTCTGATGAGCATCTTGCTGTTGACGCTGAGCTCTCTGCCCCCTCTGCTCCCCATTGTATTTGAAATGCAGCCGATGCTGCTGCCTGCACACAGCCATTTGTTAGGCGTGTGAGGCAGTGACAGCCGCTTAATCCGAATGGGCCTTCACTGGAGTCAGTTCATTTATTTCACTAAGGAAAATGTCAACCAAAAATTACAGAACAGGCATATAAGAGAGGATGGGCGAGTGAACCTCCCAGAGTGACACGTGTTCCTGGGGCTGTTTTCAGGGGGTTGTTCTGGTGTAGCCAAAGTGCTGAGGTGTTGAGGGTCATTTGGGCAGAGCAGGAGAGGAGCAATATGTGATGTCTCGTAGAATGGTTTGGGTTGAAAAGGACCTTAAAGCTCCTCCACCTCCAACCCCTGCCACAGGCAGGGACACCTTCCACTAGAGCAGGTTGCTCCAAGCCCCTGTGTCCAGGCTGGCCTCGAACACTGCCAGGGATG